CACACACACACACACACACACACACACACACACACACACACACACACCCCTACCTACAGCCCTAGACCTGAGAAAGACAATCCATTGAACAATGGAGCAGACCTCTAGGGCATTGCTTCCTTCATTGATGATTGGAGGCCATTCCCAGAACTGAGGTTCATTAAACTTCCTCTAATCCTTGCTTTTGACCATCATTCCAGACCAGGGACTTGCCATCTTTCCTTCTTCCACCTGCATTTCAAAGAGATGGAAGACTATAGTCCAAGGGCCAAATCTGGCCAGCCAGCCTGTATTTGCATGATCATCTAGAAAGGTAAAAGGTTCTTACACTATTACCTATAAGAAAACTTTATTTTAAAATGTAAAAACTATTCTTAACTCCCAGTGGGTACAAAAACTGACCCCACATACTGTAATTTGCTGATTCTGTGTAGCCAATCACACCTTGGCATACCCCAACCCAGGATTACTCCCATTATCTGTTTCCATAGCTCCTACTCTGACACTATTGAACGAAGTTAGAGGAAGTCACAAAACTTGGCATACAAGGTTTACACTACAGGTTTATGTTATCAAATCTCAAATGTATCCTCACTGAAGCAAGGCAGTCCTTTTACTCCTCCCTTATTGATTCTCTGTCCCATTCACCATAGTGGCTGTTCTAAACCTCTTTTTTTTCCTCTGGCTCTCATGAGACTCCTTGTCTAAAAGATAGTTGATGATGTGGGACTGGAGCTCAGGCAAGAGGTAACAACTATAGATAGATCTGAGAATCATCGTAGAGAGGATAGTTGAATCCATGGAAGCTGATGAGATCACCAAGTAAGATTATAGTGTGGAAAGAAAAGACAAGAGGGCCCAGAGTAGACCCTGGGGAGAAACTCACTGTCAGTATTCAAGACATGACAAAAAATGTAGAAAAAGAGACTGAGAAGGAGTATTCTGATAGGTAAGAGAACCATGAGAACATCATCAGGAGATCCTAGAGATGAGAGAGGATCCAGGAGGAGAGAGTGTCAGATCAACAGTGTCAGAGGCTTCAGAGAGATCAAGAATTATGAGGATTGAGAAAAGACCCTTGGATTTAACAACTAAAAAATCCTTTATAACTATGAGACAGAAATTTCAGTTGAATGAGGTTGAAAGACAGATTGCAGAGAATTTAGAAACAAGTGAGAGGAGACACAGTGCAGGCAACAAGCATAGACGACTTTCTCAAGGAGCTTACCCAGGAAGGAGGAGAGAGATCAAGGACCTTAACTAGTAGGGTTGTATCAAGTAAGGGCATTTTAAGGATGGATGAGATATTGGTATGTTTGTAAGCAGCTGGGAAGAAGCCAGATTAGAGAAAGTGAGGATGAAATGGGGACAGTCTTTTGGAGGAGACAGAAGGGATTGGATCAGTGATGCATATGGAGTGGTTAACCCCTCCACCATGTGTCCCAGGCAAGTTACTTAGTCTCTGTCAGCCTCAATTTCTTCATCTGTAAAGTAAGGATAATAATAGCACCTATCTCCCAGTGTGATTATGAGGATCAAGTGAGATTACATACGTAAAATGCTTTGCAAAACTTACATATAGCATTTTAAAAATGCTAACTATTTTTGTTACTAATTGTCTTGTCAAGGAAAGGGATCTCTGCATCAGAGGCAAGAGTAAAGGAGGAGATATCTGAGTGATGTGAGATAAGGAAGGGAGAAGAGAGAGCTCTTGATGAATGGCCACAGTTTTTTCAGTCAAATTTGAGGCAAGGTCTTCATCAGAAAGGGCTGGGGAAGAGAATTCTTTGGGAGGCTTGAGAAGAAAAGTTTTGGAACAGATGTGGTAAACAAATCAAGACTAAAATGATTGCTTTGTTATAATGAGGTTCCACTTGAGATTAGGTAATGTCAATTTGTAGGGGACCCAATCACCGTGGTTTTGTGATTTTCAACAGCCTGAATAGGAACAAAGAATGTAGATGGTGGAAGTAATCCAGCATTGGTGTTTGGCAAGGTGTAATCATTGAAAGAACAAGGAAAGATGGAATCATAAAAAATTGTGATCATATAAAGGACTTTTAAGAGTTCATTAACATGGAAGTCTATGTAATAGGTTAGTTGATGGCAAGAAGGTATGACCATTTTTGTGTGTACATGAGTTTGAGTGGAAGAGTGGGTCTTGAGAACTGAGTAGATTGAATCACTTAGAGTTAAGGTATTTGAGGGACTATTCAGTATGCACGTTGAAGTTACCTAATGTGAAAGCAGGAGTTGTGGGAAGACTGGGCAAGGCACTGAACTCATTGTGGAAGGAAGAAGGATGACCTTGGTTGTAGCAGTGGGCAGGTGTCATTAGATAACCATCAACAGGATCTGGGTTGGGTAATTAATCTGATTAGTATGAACTTCAAAGGGGGATTGATTGCTATGGGATGACGGTAAAGGAAGAGCCTGGAAGTGTCAGTGTGGAGCTAAAAGTATTCTGACTCTTCCATCATGGGGCTGGGGGAAGTAAGAGTAAGTCAAGGAGGGAGGAAATGAGGCATGAGAGAATGTATAGACAGTACTGGAAGGGGCAGCCAGAGAAGCAGATTCATTAGGAGGGAGCCAGATCTCAGCGAGTGCCAGAAGATGGAAGGACTACGAAAGGAAGAGATTTAAGATGAAAGCAAGTTGGTTAATTATGGAGCAGGTATTTTATCCTTTCATCTTTCCCTGTGCCTCACCCCTCCTAAATGTCTTCTCTGCAACTTTCAGTCGCTCCACCCCCTTCCTGTTTTCCCAGGCCGTCACTTTCTTTCCTTCAGAATCCTGAATGTGTAGTTAACCAGTTCAGCTTTACACTTTCCTCTATCCTAAATTTCCTTGCCACTTTGCCTAGTTGTTGCTCGTCATTTTCTAGATCCCAACTGTGGAATCTCACCTACTCTACTTCTATATAGAGGAATGGATGGGTGAAACAGTCTTAATTAATCTCTCACTATGTTCTAGGGCCTGTATTAAGTGCTGCAAGTACAAAAACAATAGAGAGCCAGTCTCTTCCTTCAGGAAGTTTAAATTCTGATAGAGCCCACACATGGAGTACTGGTAGCCAGAGGGGTGAAGTCATAGGGATAATGAATGGAAAGACATAGGTAGTTGATTGATCTGCAATTTTCAGGATCAGTGTTTATATTATTTGATTACTGTTCTCAGAGCAAGAGGGGAGAAATGTATGTAGGGGAGGGAAGGGTTTACTTGTGGTAGAATGGCAAAAAATAAAAAGGCTGGTGGGCTGGCCAGGCCCTGCCAGCTAGAGCAAGTTCCTACCAGTCAGCACAGTTCCAGGGCAGAAGCCAAAGGCTAGGTTTGAAGATAAGGAATAGTTCAGTGCCACTTCTGAACCAAAAGGAGCAAGTTCTTTTACAGCCATCTATATGACAGCCCCTTCTACAGATTTCTGCTGGGCAATTCAATTGGTTCCTCACTGCCTTTTTTGGGGGGGGGGGTGAGGCAGTTGGGGTTAAGTGACTTGCTCAGGGTCACACA